TGTAAACTTTGACTATCATATGTGGAAAAAAATACATTGTATTACGATATGACTTTAATATGAATATATTCATTTTGAAATATAGTTTTCAAATATCAAATTTTTATAAAATATATCCATACACAAATAAAGATATTAGTGGTCAAAGTACATCTTGGAGACCTTAAAAAGTCAAATGGAAAGAACATTTCCGGACGGAGGGAGTATAACATTTCTATATAGACCAAATCAGATCACATCAGACTTTAATAAAAACAAATCAAGTCCAATCTGATCACAAAAATGAAAATTAGCTTTTAAGCATAGTAATGGGGCTAAAATACTAGATGTAGAGAATCTTGGGAAGTTCATTACCTCTACACTATTATGCTCTCACATCCATGGTGATTTATTAATGAAGTTTGTTTTTTACCCCAGTTGTACACCATTAATCTTCACCATTTAATCTTTATCTATAATCATTTTAGGGTCTGTTCCATTCAACTTTTTTTCATCTTATTAATTATTCTTATTAGAATCAAATTATATCATATCAGCTTAAACCAGATCAGAAACAAATTTAAATATAACTACATTCAGATCAGACCAAATCTTCAAAAAATCTGATCAGATCAGCAAGGCGGAACGCAGTCTATCCACACTTGGGGTTGAGGCCTTGTTCTTTTGGATTGGAATTTCAGAGTTGGATGTTGGAAGAAACGGAAAGGAGTTGGAAAAAACTAGGAGTTAGAAAATATTAGAAAAATTAAAGTGTTAAAAAATTACTCAATTAAATGATCAATGAAATAAATATGTAAGAAAACTCTAATTTTAGATAAAATAGAATTCTTCATTGTCCGTGTTTGAGGTGGTATGTTAAAAATTTGGATATATAATATTACTTTATATTCACTCCATCGTGTCTCTTAGCGTACCCAATAATGAGTAAAGAAATCTCACCTATCTCTCTCTAGTCTCTACACTTCCCCTCCCATCGATATCTTTATTATTATTTTTCCATTGCATCCCACCAATGAGAACTTTTTTTTGCTCTACACCTCTCAATGTCATTGGAGCCATGCCATGTTTTTTTCCTCATGGTGCATGACAAAAAAAATCCATGAAGGATGTAAACACTCACCATTGAGAGTAAAAAATAACTTACACATAGTGATTTTCCACACTAGTGTGAGTGGTGTGAGATAGTAGAGTTAATGCAAATAATGAGTTAAAATGTTGGTACTATAAAAAAGCAGGTCAGTCTTGGAAGAAAATGAAGAAAATTATTGAGTAATGAGTGGTGAAGTTAACAATATTTTGTTTACTTTAAACAAAGCTCTAAAAAGGAAGAGGACAGAGGCTCTGTTCCTCACAGAGAAGCATGTGCTACAAGCCCTCAACATATTTTTTTCAAAATCATTCCAAATGTTCCTCAAAGAAGCAATCTTCAACCAATCTAGTCCTCCTTCCTCGCGACACCTCTGATTTTTTCCCGTGTAGCCTCGAATGATTACAGATTCAAGCGTACCAAGCAATAACCCTTGGGTCACAGAAACCAGCTGCGAGTAGTCACGTAGCTTCAAGTGTTCAAGAGAGTAGAGAAGTAACAAAGACGGAAGAAGATGAAGTTTTGGGCAATATCTTACTGAGATGCGGCGAAGGCGGGGGAAGTCACCATCCTCAACTCCAGTCCATTCTTCAAGGGCAAGCAAGCTATCAAGAGTCAATTCTTCCAGCCTGGAAAAACCACTTTAATTTCATGATTCGTGCAGAAAACTACATTGATGTTCCACAAATGTTCCATGTTGAATATGTTGAGAATCTTGAGAGAAGGAAGCTCCCCAATTGAGGACATGATCTCACATTCTATGCACTTGTACAGTGTTATGCTGGCAAGATCAGCATAGGCTGGATTGCTTATCCACCTCGGAAGTTTTGATCCCCCATAAAATGTCAACCATAACTCTTTCAGGCCAAAATGTGGTTGCAGTGATTCTAAAATTTCAATTGTATCTTGAAAATTGTCAAAGCCACAACTGTGCCATCTCAACTTCAGCTTGTGAATATAGTGTTTATCTGATAGTGCGGCTCCCTTGCTTCCCCTGCATTGGAGACATTTTCAAGGCCTGATATACCAAAGGACCTGTAATCTCATTCATGTGTTTCAGCCTTCTTATGCAACACCCATCATCCTTCCCGATAATGAATGCTCGTAGGGTTTGAAGCTTTATTAAATTCCACATCCCTTTCGGCATGGACTTTAATTGGCTAACAATGTCAAGATCTAGATGACGGAGATTAACCAACATACCCAACCCACTTGGTAAAGTAAATAGTCCAAAGCAGTCTTTAAGATTTAGTCAGGTAGCTGTTTGATGGGAGTCCTAGAGAAGTCAAGGTATTGTTGTGATTCCAACTTTGCAATTGAACCTGGTATCTCTTCTTTATGAGTGGGACTCAAATCCAATGTCCTTAAGAACTTTAATCCCAAAAAGATGTCATGGGTAGTACCGTTAAGAAATCAGAGCAACCGTTATTCACCACAAGCGTATGCAATTGTTTGAAAATTTTCAGAACATCAAAAAAGGTTCGATCAATCTTCTTACACTACCATGTTAGATGCAAGACCTCTCTGCAGATCGTACCCAAATCACATGAATTGATCCTCAAATAGTTACCCTGGTTAAGGAGCCCATCCGACACTTGACATGTATTGAATTTGTATTTCATCTCTCTGGGAACTTTATCAAACTTTTAAGGTACTATGACTTTTTCACAGGCCAACGCATCAAAGTATGAATAACCAACATTCTCCATTCTTTCCGCCACTCGTAACTCAATGCATTCTTCAGCGACCCACATGTGTACCAATTTATCCTTTCCAAATTCAGAATATGGAAGAAACAGTTTGCAATATTCAATGCATCGTTTAGGGACAATGCGAGGTACTTTACTAGCAGGATCTTTTGAGCTTTCCAAACAATATGCTCTACGCTCACCCCCCCCCCCCATAGATATTTTGGATTTTTTCTTTACATGACGTTTTAGCTCTTTCGCTTCATCAAATAGGTCTCTATGTAGAGTTAATCAATGATAATAACATTAGTTAAGAGAACAAGAAGTAATGGCATCATAAACACAAACAGAACAAAGTATGAAATTCTCCTAATAAACAAAGCGCTCAAAATTTTCTACATATAAACCATTGTTACTTTCGATGGATTAATAAAGCATCTAAAGTTCTAATAGCATTCATGAATACGGTTCATGTTGGTTATCTTTGATGTTCATTCCTTCCCGTTCTCCATTTCCATGTTCTTTAATCGAATTATAAGCTTAACAGGCATGGCTAGATGCTAGACAGAATGAATCATAACCCTTGCTGCAAGCAAGATCTATCTCCTTTCACAAGTTCCATCAAACAGGAATGCAACTTGGATTAGAGCAAATAGAAACAGAATCAACTAAACTCACATATTTTTAATAATGCCCAAACCCATCAATGCAGTATATGTTCAATCTTACAAACTCAACCTCTAAAGCGCAAGAGTGGGACTCTAGGCGTGGAGAAGCTTGTGGTGGCTTCCTTGCTACTATGCCAATATACTTCCACAACTAAACACCCATTTTTGTTATCAATTTAGTTAAATGACTATAAATTTTATTATTCGGAAAATAGCAAGTCCCAATAGTAGATGAGATCCAACCTCTCGCCTCAATTGCATTTGATCAAATAAGGGATGATGAACAAGTTGTTCACTCATCCATCCCTTCCATACATCTGGCTGCATACAAGAGATGATAAGCCTCAACAGCTCTTGATTCCACACCATCACTCCCCCATTAGATGAAGAGGGCAATATTTAAGACAAATTCAAATCCATTCCCGGTGACGGTTCATGCTTTTGAGGCAATGCAGGAACAGATTTTAAATTACCAATGTCTTGATTAATCCAACATCTCTGTGTGACCAATTCAAACTTTCGGACCATTTGAGAATGCAGAACCCCACAATCTATATATCTCACGATAACTGATCATGCATAGCTCCAATTTCAGTTAAAAATGGTGGTGGCGCATTAGACAAAGTTTCCCCTAAATACAGAAGCTTGGTTTGGCATGTATGACTGAAGAAGACATTAGAGTGTTTGATATCTCTGTGAGCAATCTTATTTTGGTGGAGGTATGTCAACCCCAAGATGAGTTGATGGGCGAGATTAACGAGGTCAGATTCAGGTGTGATGCTCTCGCCTGCAAATGATGCGCAAAAGGGTTCGAGGATTAGAAAAATCCGGTCAGCCGGTATCCTCATAGATGACAACATCGTAGCATTTGACGAGGTTGGGATGATCGAGTTCCTTGAGAATGACGACTTCACGGCTGATTTCTTCAAATTGAGAGGCATCGTAGGGTAAATCCATCAAGGCGCGGGTGTGGCGGGTCGACCGATTCATGACTTCGTACAACACGCCTAATCTTCCATATGCTGCAATCACGGATACCAACGTCCAATCAGGCAACAAGTCTGGCATCGATCTTGACGGCGGACACAAACCCCTCCCTTTTGCCAATCAAAATCTACGTGCTTCAATATTCTCCATCTTGATTCCCGCAATGCAGATCGGAAAGAGGGCAACGGCGGCACCTTGGGTGTGAATCACTGAGAGGCCATGGATGCAAACGAGAATGAAAGAAGCCCAACATAAACGAGAATAAAAGAGGCCCTAAAATCCATTGCATGTTGTTGCTAGCCATTTTCATTTTCCAAGTCTCTTTCTTTAATTTCATGTTGTTGCTTGTCATTTTGATTTTCCAGCTCTCTGTCCTCAATTTCAGTCACCTGAACACATAAGAATGTAAAATATACATCTTTATTCCTTAGGAAACAACCTAGAGCCTTATCATTGGCCATTATGACAGGTGGCAATTCCCCACTGAACTAAGAAGATTGGTACGAGCCTTATCACTGGCAATTACGACAGGTGGCAATTTCCCACTAAACTGAGAAGATCGGTACAAAACCTGAAGTTGATGCTTTCTTTGTTGCAATCCTAAGTCCTGATAAATACACATGAGAAGGGCATTGAAGTCTACATTACATCTTTCCCACTCGATCACTTGTGTCTTACTTTGCTTGTTACGTTTAAACTGGATTTTGCTTTTGTCATTTTCAACTCATTCACCACCACAATGAATGACGAGAGACAGAGGAGGGGCCATCTGCACGCAAAAATGAAACTAAATATTTAAACGTCTTATTAATGTGTCGATCTATGTACATCGACACAATCGTAATTCAGAATGTCGAACTACTCTACGCGACTGATGGGTTTGGGCATTATTAAAAATATGTGTGCTTACTTGATTCTGTTTATATCTCTGATCCAAGTTGTAATACAAATCTTAAGCCGAAGTATGTTTTTGATCGATCTTTTGATGAAACTTGCGAAAGGAGATAGATCTTGCTTGCTGCAAGGGTTATGATTGATTCTGTCTAGCCAAGTCTGTTTAGCTTATTATTCGATTAAAGAACACGAAAATGGAGAATTGAAAGGAATGAACATCGAAGATATCCAACATGGACCATATTCGTGAATGCTACTGGAACTTAAGATGCTTTATTAATCCATCGAAAGTAACAATGGTTTATATGTAGAAAATTTTGAGCGCTTTGTTTTTCGGGGGAATTTCATATCTTGTTCTATTTGTGTTTATGATGCCATAACTTTTTGTTCTCTTAACTAATGTTATTATCATTGATGAACTCTACAAGAGATCTATTTGATAAAGAGAAAGAGCTAAAAGGTCATGTAAAGAAATAATCCAAAATATCTATGGGGGATGAGCGTAGAGTATATGGTCTAGAAAGCTCAAAAGATTCTGCTAGTAGAGTACCTCGCACTGTCCCTAAACGATGCATTAAACATTGCAAATTGTTTCTTCCAGATTCTGAATTTGGAAATGATAAATTGGTACAGATGTGGGTCGCTGAAGAATACATTGAGTTACGAGTGGCAGAAAGAATGGAGAATGTTGGTTATTCATACTCTGACGCGTTAGTCCATGAAAAAGTCATTGTACCTTCAAAGTTTTATATAGTTCACTGAGAGATGAAACACAAATTCAATACATGTCAAGTGTCGGATGAGATCCTTAACCAGGGTAACTATTTAAGGATCAATGCATGTGACTTGGGTACGATCCGCAGAGAGACCTTGCATATAACATGGCAGTGTAAGAAGATTGATCGAACTTTTTTTGATGTTTGAAAACTTTCAAACAATTGCATACACTTATGGTGAATGAGGGTTGCTCTGATTTGATAACGGTACCGCCCCATGACATTTTTTTGGGTTTAAGGTTCCTTAAGAACATTGGATTTGAGTCGCACTCATTTATAAGAGATACCAGGTTCAATTGGAAAGTTGGAATCACTGCAATGCCTTCACTTCTCTTGGACTCACATCAAGCAGCTATTCGACTCAATGGATCGCGTGCATCGTCTACAAACATTAAATCTTAAAGCCTGCTTTGGACTGTTTACTTTACCAAGAGGGTTGGGGATGTTGGTTAAACTTCACCTACTAGATCTTGACATTGTTAGCCAATTGAAGTCCATGTCGAAAGGGATGAGAAATTTAATAAAGCTTCAAACTTTACGAGCATTCATTGTCGGCAAGGATGATGTGTGTGGCATAAGAGAGTTGAAACACATGAATGAGATTATAGGGTCCTTTTGTATATCAGGCCTTGAAAATGTCTCCAGTCTCCAATGCAGAGGAATCAAAGGGAGGCGCATTATCAAATAAACAATATATTGACAAGCTGGAATTGAGATGGCGCAGTTGTGGCTTTGACAATTTTCAAGATACAATTGAAATTTTAGAATCACTACAACCACATTTTGGCCTGAAAGAGTTACGGTTCAAATTTTATGGGGGATCAAAACTTCCGAGGTGGATAAGCAATCCAGCCTATGCTGATCTTGTCAACATAACTCTGTACAAGTGCATAAAATGTGAGACCCCCCCTCCATCAGCAAGCTTCCTTCTCTGAAGATTGTCCACATATTTAACATGGAAAATTTGAGGAACATAAACGCAGTTTTCTTCGGGAATTATGAAACTAAAGTGGTTAAAGCATTTCCAAGGCTGAGAGAATTGACTCTTGATAGCATGCTTGCCCTTGAAGAATGGACTGGAGTTGAGGATGGTGACTTCCCCCGCCTTCGCCGCATCTCAGTAAGATATTGCCCAAAATTTCGTCTTCTTCTGTCTTTGTTGCTTCTCTGCTCCCTTGAACACTTGGAGCTATGTGACTGCACGCAACTGGTTTCTAAGACCCATGGGTTATTGCCTGGTACGCTTGAATCTCTAATCATTAGAGGCTGCCCGAGAATAAATCAGAGGTGCCGCGAGGATAGAGGACGAGATTGGTTGAAGATTGCTTCTCTGAGGAACATGTGGATTAATTTTGAAAAGTCTACATCTGGTTGACTCCAGAAACAAAGTCTACATTTGAGATTGGTTCAGAAAAAGTCTACATCTGAGATTGGTTTTTTTTCCTCATAGCATTTATTCCTTGCTTTGTCCGTAAAACTTTTTAACTTTCTAATCTTAATTACATGTTTCATAAAGTATTTTAATTTGGCCTAAATTAGCATAATTGCCTAAATATAGGCCAACTATCTTTCATGCCCTCCATGTTTTGACGATTTTCGATCCCTACTCGTTTCAATTGTCGTCAGTTTACTTTGGTCGAACTTCTACCGCTTCCCCTCCCAAAAGTCAAAACAGGAAATATCTAATTTTTCTTACTATATTGTTTTAAAGGATTATTGATGTAATTTTGAAATATATAATTTTACTTTTTATTTTTATACCAACTTGTAAATAAAATAATTTTTAAAAAAGATTAAATTTTGAAGCAAAGTTGTCTTCAAATCGGACGGAGAGAGTATGTTTAATATAGTTTTTCTTTTGATATAAACATTTGTCGTGCTCCCAAACAAATGTTCTGAATACACCACACTAAGGACAAGATCAAGGTATAGGAAACAGACACACTGATAGTGCAAAACAGAAAAATAATAAAACAAATGAATCCATACCATAAGAGTCCTAAGAAGGTTTTTCATCTTCTCTCTGCCACTTTTCTCACAAATTCCTTTGGTTTGGCCTTCTATTTTTTTCAAATTTTAAACACTATTTAATACCCCCATAGCTTTACGCCAAGGAACCATAGAAATCCAATTGGAGCAATCCTTAGAATAAGAAGAGAGTACAAAAATACAAAATAAACCTGGGTTTGGGTGTTCACTTCAACAAAGTCCTTCACTTGCTGCTGATAAAGGCTGTCCAGGAGTGCATCTTTCCTGCTTGAATACTCATCCAATAAACCTTTATGTCCTCCATGTCCAATCCTTGCTGTGGTTGCACCAGAATATGCCTCGAATAATACATCGGAGAGTCCTTCGAGGTATGAATAATAGTTCCATTTCATAGGGGATATTTTTGCTTATACAGTTGAAGCATGAAAGCTGCAATCTTCCAAAGCCCATTGCGTACTTCTTCTTGAGAACTCCATGTGCTGCTCATTTCTGTAATTCATGGCAGTGCGAAATAGTATCACACGTCCATAGTTCACAAGCTCTTTCGATCTGAACAGAAACTGGCATGTCCTCGTGAAAAACATACCCAAACTCTCTCTCAAGGCAATGGAATAGTTCTTCCAGATCTGATAATTCAGCATTGTCTCTGCCCATCAAAAGAACAGTTCTTCTACGAGCTCTTTCACCAACTAACTGAATAAGATCCCAAAGAGCACTAGAGAACTGCATTTCGAAATGCAAATGAGAGCCCGACCCAGTTCCATGGTTCTGACTAACTTTACTTTGGAGCTCCCTCAGTTGGACCTCATGGCAGCAAGCTTTTCCCCCGTGCTCCATGATAATTTGCAACGAGTGTCCTGCAAGCAGAAGCTTAAAACTCTTAACCTCAAAAGCATGCAAACCCTGCAGGAAACCAGCTGCTATAACTCTGAATTGGTCTACAGAAAGAACTAACGTAATTACATAATACTGTTTATACTCACTAAGAGCATGATTTTTTTGAAAATTAAAACATTAACCTTGAAGATTACAAACAACTGCCCGAAGAATAAATGAATATGATAAAACATGCTTCTTCTACTACTATTAGTCCTCTTTGCAATTGAATGCTACAAATTTTCATAACAGTTACTGTTTGAAGGGGAAAAAACAAAAATTCAAAAAGTCAGACAAAATTCACCACAAAATCTAACTGATACAAGATACGGTCTCAAAGCCAGTGTTGTTGCTCCTGTTTTAAGGTCATGAAGGATTGATGAATGCATGAACAACAACAAACCTTCTAACCTAGTAGAACCCCACACAAGGTAGGGTCTAGGGAGGATGAGTGTAAACAGACTTTACCCCCCCCCCCCTACTGGGAAGTAGATAGGCTATTTCCAAGAGACCCCGGCTAAAAACAAAAGTATGGTCAAACAAACCACAATAACACCTAGATCCAAAGGACACAAGCATACAAACAAATTAGGGCATAAAAACCAAGCCAGCAAAAAACTAAAAACTAAGGCTCACGAGTCTACCAACTGCTTCCTAGATCTCTACGTGTTCCTATCTAAGGTCATATCCTTGGTAAGATCATGAAGTCGTAAATCACCTCTTATCACTTTCATAGTTTCATCCAACTCTTCCAAGGTCTACGTCTACCCCCTTCTCATTCCCAGTACCGCAAGCCTCTCGTAACTCCTTACAGGGGCCTCAATACACCTCCTAACATGCCAAACCACCTCAGCTGAGCTTCTCGCAACTACTCCTTCATAGGAACCACTCCTGCCCTTCTCCATATAACCTCGTTATGGATCTTATCCATTCTCGTATGACCACACATCCACCTCAGTAGACACATCTCTTCCATATGGAGCTGACAAACGTGAGTTTTCTTCACCACCCAGCACTTTACTCTGTGTACCACAGGTGGTCTGACCACTGCCCAAAAAGTGTCACAAATGTTCCTAGGGTTGATGTATAGGCATAAAGACCTACATAACCTACATTCCAACTAATATAGGGATTAGTTATGAAGGATTACTTCATACTATTATGGTCAATTGAATCTTCCAATTACACACGTCAACTAAAAGCACATAGCTTATTTGCTTGAAGAATAACATAATGAAAGAAGTAGATCATACTCTGTACATAACATAATTCCTCGTGACACTTAGATCAAGCAAGGAACTGAAGAAACACTTGATGTTTCTGGTTCTTCTTAATTAACTGGGTAGACACAACAGATACAGATACAATTTCAGCGCCTTGTGTTGTTGTCCAATGTTTAGCAAGAGTATCTACAATGGATTTTCTCGTCCTCGCAAATACACTGGTCTCCCCATCTCTTTCAAATGCACCTGAATGTTTCAGCTTATCAAATACTCCATCAACCTGCCCAGATAAGAAAAAATCATGAAAAAGCTGATTTAGCAAATCTTCTGACTCTTCATCTTGAGCAGTTCGGCATGCAACTGCATTTAAACTAGACTTTTGTCTATCTCCAGCATCCAATACTTCAGAGCTATCCCTTCTTTTAGCAATATTTCCTGTAAACCATAAGCTTTTTTTCTCTTCCCGAAATGACATTTCACTAGAGCTACCTTTGCATGACAAACTTCTCTCAGGTGGCCCAAACTCCAACCTTCTCAGTGAGAACAGCCCATGCTCTTTCCCATCATCATCAAAAGGGAAAACTGAGGATCAAATTGGTAAAGCCTAGTGGAATTTCCCCGATTATGTGAGACTGTTGCAGTACCCTCACCGGAAAGTATAATCACTGAACCAGCTGGTTTGCCCCCCAATTTTCAATCTCATGGAGAAGATAAAATCTTCATCTTCTACTCTCTCTTTAGGAATAATCACTTCTGGGAGAGCTTGTTTCTCCAAAACCCTTTTATGTGTTGGATGAACATATTCTGAGTAAACATCAACTCCAGATTTGAATTCCATTGTTAGAAGCGAGTATTCAGTGTCACTTGAACTCTTAACCCGGTCCTTGCAATAAGCATGGCAATAACTGTTGGAATGTGAGTTGGAGGATGAACGCTGCAAAGCAACTTTAACAAGAATGAGAAGAATAACATGATAGAGTTTAACGAATCGCGTAGAACGCTTTCAGATCAAAGTTATTTCGGGGTGTATCAAAATACTTTAATCGGATAATACGTTAATCAAGAACGAACACCGAGAATCGGATTACCTCCACCATACCTACGAGACTCTATTTATAGAGTCGAAAATTGATGATCAGACATGAACATTCGCGTAAGACGCGAACGTTCGGGCGAAGAGATAGAAAAGGAAAAACGCGAAAATTTGCTAAAGGAGAAAACGTTCGTGCGAAAAAGATCCTTGTGGTTTTAGGGTCAAATTCACGTGTATCCACACATCCAAATCTTTTAACGTTTTGGACTCCTTTCACGAAAATCTGAAGGATTTTCATAAAGCAATAATGTCCAAAACAAAAAATACCCCGACCAGGGTCTCTGCCCCTTGGACCCCAGGGGCTGCCGCCTTTTGGACCCCACTACCGGGGCTTCCGCCCCCGGACCCCCGCTATGAAATTGTAATATCGTTGAACGAGCGTGCACCCTGCACCTCGTAACTCGTTAGACAACGTGTATTATAATTCTTGTCTGATCTAAGTAAATACAATTACACAAAATAGCCGATGATACTAAAATCACCAACAATAACCTTGCCCTCATTATCAACTTGCAAATCTAGAGGCCAAATATGCTTCTAGCCAGCCAAATCCTTCTGGATTCCCAGATCACTGTCAGTACCAATTACTTCATGAGACCAGATCTTCGAGACCATAAGATTGGGGGAAGGTTCAATTGAAAAGCAGTGAATTTCACAGTCTGTTAACAAAAGAAATTGTCTGTTAGGTTTATCAGAACGAGGCAGAAAATGCCAGACCAATGACCTTGTCAAACTAACTCTACATTTTCTTTTCCTTCTCCATACACCCAAAATGAACATTGTTTCATGTTCACTCTTGAATGGAGGATTGTTTGATTGCTTCAATGAGAGAGAGTTTAATCTCTTGATTTCCTCTGCCTTCTCCTCCAAGAGCCGGTCCTTCTAAGCAATGATCTGGGGGAACTGCGCATTGGCGCGGCTAGCCATAATCCAGTCCGCTGCCATCGTGTGAATACTAGTTCCTAACTGAAGAAAAATAGATAAGTCAAAAATTCCGAGTTAAGCATAGAAGTTTAGAGCAGCACCGAAGGCAAGGGAGTCTGGACGATGTTGAGAACCCTGTACGTGTTGTACTAAGGGAAGAAGGGAGATATGTTGGCCGAATGGAGAGGAAGGGAACGAGAGGAGTAGGACTGATGGTTAGGAGCATGCTACATAACCCAAAATTTGTATCACATTTATACACACGAAAAGTATGCACCAATATTTTGATGATTCATAAAAACACAAATGTTGATGCGTTAACAAAAATTAGTATTACACCAACACAAAATATTGGTGCATCTGTACCATGTACAAAATGAGATACAAATAAAATTTTCCTTTGGGTTATGGTTTAAGAAGGTAAAAGATATGTGTTTTGATGGGGAATTGGCTTGGGCGAAATGGGCATCAAAGGAGAAGGAAATGAAGGATAGTTTTAATAAAAACTAGTTTTCTACCCCGTGCTTCGCAGGCGCTTGGAATGTGTTCAGATGTCTATTAATTAAGATTATCGACTTTTTTGGTAAAAGTATGTAACACTTTGATTACAAATTAAATACAGTTTTAAATAATTAAATATCATAAAAATTTGATGTATGAAAATAATGTTTTAAATGGACACAATTTTTATAAATTTACATTATAATTAAAAATAGAGCAACTTGACCAAAAATATCAAATCGTAATTAAATGATATACTAATAAACATTGATTTAACTAATGAAAAAATAAAATAAAAATGCCAAATAAATTTAGGTAAAGATAAATAATTGAAAAATACATATGTGGTATATGGCCTATATGCCATGTGTTATACCTCAACAAAAACAAATTAATTTAATTAAATTTGTTAAAATGATATATAGCACATTAAATAATTTTACAGATAAAACATTTTGAAATAAAATACAGTATATAGTTAGTAAATATATAGCTAATAAAATATAGTTATTTGGTAAAAATAACAATATAAAATAAATGGTGGATTGTTTTAAAAATATAAATATAATGTTTTTCAAGCTTCACACGAGCTCGAATATATTCTAATATTTGACATCTAAAAAATAAAATATTGTTTATTTTAATTATTTAATAATGATATATGGGGTTTCTAAAAACCTAGTAAAAATAAATATGCATTTGTGACATCACATGTGGCATGGTGTGTACACATGACGTGAAAAGTTTTATACAAACTAAACAATCAATGAAAAGAATAATAAAGAAATAATTTTCAATTAAAAAATTAAAATAACAAACTTCAAATGAATTAATTAAGTAATGACACATAATGAGAAAATACATATATGACATACAACGTGTATCATCTTTCAACCTTAACTTTGTTTTGTTTAGTTTGTTGAAAAGAATATACACCATATACTAAAACATACTTCGTGGTATGTAATAGGATAAAAAGTTTGAAATAATTTTAGTATTTAATAAATATTTATATGTGATGAAATTGCTATAATACTGCTTTGAAAATTTAATAACTATAAATGTTCTTTTTGATCAATAATAATGGTTATTTAGTGTAAGAAAGTGAAGAGTTCATAAAACTTTAATAAAAATAAAATTTATTTAATATACAAAAGTGAAGGGTATTCATGAAAATTTAATAATACTCCAATAAACATATACATGTGGCATGACACGCGTCGAGGTGTAATGCACACGTGACCTAAAAATTTTATACAAATGTAATGGTCATCAAATAAAATAATAATGAAAATTATTTTAATTAATAAAAATAAAAAAAATGTCAAATAAATCAATTAATTAATGACACATCATTAGAGAATGCATATCTGTCATGTGACACATCTAATCCTTCAATTAAACTTTCACTTTATTTAGTTTTCTACAAAAATATATAATAAAATAAGACAAAATTAAAATATGTTATCAAGTTAATAAAGATGCATGTGTGATAAAATTTATATATAATAGTTTCTTTTGAGATGATGGATAATTTTAAAAATAATAAGAAACATTGTTTTTTTTCATTAATAAATTTTATATAATTTTTTTAAAACTATAACATAGTCACGCTTATTTAAAAAATGTTTCTAACATAGTTAGAAAGTGAAACTTGTTAGGAATCAGAGATCAGAGGCGGTCAAGCGGAAGCGAACAAACACACACACACAAATAGCAGAAAATAAGAACACGAGATTTAACGTGGTTCGGTTAGTAACCTACTCCACGGGTTGCAACTAGGGTTTATCTTTTATTAGGTGCTCACAGATTATAGTTACATGATTGGGTATTTATAAGATATAAATTAGGGTTAACAACTTGCTAAACAAGAAACAACTAATGGGCCCTTAAATTAATAACTAAAACCGGCCCCCCATATTTCTTCCCTTTAACCGACTGGGCTTAAAGCCCAAAGCTCTAAAGCCTTCACTGAATAACCCAACAATCTCCCACTTGAAGGATTTCGCATAGACAAAAAATGCCATCCAAGTAAACCCATCATGAGTAACTCAGTAATCTTCACTGTCAAGTCCTCCAAGCCTCTAGTTCCCAAGAACAAGCTAAAACTCCAGTTATATCCCCTAGTTGCAACCACCCTCTTCATTAATAACCTGAAAGGACAGTTGAAGCTCCACCGAGCTCCAACCCAGTCGTGACTGTAACCGCCACAGCCTTTGTCTCAACCGGCTTGCACAATCCACCGGATCCAGAGATACACCGAGGACCATTACCACTCTCCAAATCCAGCAAACTATTCCCAGGAGAGATTTTAACGTTCGGATTCTTGGTCCTCAAAACCCAACGACGTTTCAGAACTGTACTCGGAACACGTCCCATGCTCCCACTGTCACGAAACCCCTGACCTGATTCAGACCTCCGAACACACTCAACTGTCATCCCCAAAACTCCAAGATTCACGTTTGCAAAATGAACCTTCTTAGTTTTGCCCGATTCAGTGAGCCCGACTTTGTTAACTGTCTTTACCGGGTTGGTCACTCCCTCAGACGTCACTGGTACCATGTATAACGATCCTCTTTTCAAGCCTCGAGCAATAACCAAATTTCCTTTGATCACCTTCCATATTCCACCACCAAACTTGACGTCTAGTCCCTGTTCATCCAATTGTCCGACTGAGATCAACTTTGTCTTCAGTCTTGGAATCACCCTGACATTTTGTAAGCTCCAAGTAGTTCCAAATGAAGTTTTTAGATCAATATCTCCCATGCCTGTCACTTTAAGGATTTTCCCGTTACCCAACTTTACCTTTCCAAAGTCTCCCTTTTTGAGATTCACCATCGCCTCACCGCTGTGCATGGCGTGAAACGAAGCACCAGAATCCATGACCCAAGAGTCAACATAGCTTTCCATGCTGAGTATCAATGCATCACTATCATCATCAGATGCATTCCCAACAACTGCGCTAATTTCGTTTTTCTTNATGTCTTCACCCAAAACACTATCCCGTATCCGATCAAACTTCAAGTTTCCTGTTCCAGCAGTTTCAGTAACCGTTGTCACAAATCCCGACCAACTATCAGGCAAGGAAGATAACAGAATCACAGCCTGAGTGTCATCATCGAACTTCATGCCTACTGATGACAACCTCGACAAGATCGAATTGACCTCATTAATGTGATCAGCAACTGGGCTGCCCTCGTTCATTCTCATCATGAACAATTCCCTCATCAAGAACACTCTATTACCGGCCGACGGTTTCTCATACATATTTGACAGAGCTGTTAACATACCACGAGCAGTTGTTTCCTTCATGATATTAAACGCCACACTCCTCATCAAAGCTAGTGTAATTTTACCTCTTGCCTTTTTGTCCTTTGAGTCCCAAATTGCTTCAGCAACCTTATCCATTCCATCCGGTTTCTCTTCCAGTACCATGTCCAAATCGCACTCACCAAGCAACGCCTCTATTTGCATTTTCCACCATGCAAAATCAGTACCGTTGAACTTCTCGATTCGAACCCTCCCGTCCTCGGCCATTGCAAAACGAGAGAAAAAAAAACCAGAGAAAAAACCAAGGAATAACGGCCCGAAACCAAGCAACCTCCAATAGAAAACAAACCCTAAATCAAAGAACCCGAACCAACGAGTACCAGGTCCAAAACCAGAAACCCTAATCGCCAAGTTCACCCAAAACCGACCGAACAGCCCCTGACCAGATCCAAACCAGCCTCTGATCAGATCCGAACCAGCCCCTTAACCGCGACAGCAAAAACAATCTTGAACAGCCTTCTTCCTGCGATTGATCCTGTGTAATCGTGTGTTTAACCGAACCAAGGCTCTGATACCACTTGTTAAGAATCAGAGATCAGAGGCGGTCAAGCGGAAGCGAATAAACACACACACACAAATAGCAGAAAATAAGAACACGAGATTTAACGTGGTTCGGTCAGTAACCTACTCCACGGGTTGCAACTAGGGTTTATCTTTTATTAGGTGCTCACAGATTATAGTTACATGATTGGGTATTTATAAGATATAAATTAGGGTTAACAACTTGCTACACAAGAAACAACTAATGGGCCCTTTAATTAATAACTAAAACCGGCCCCCCATATTTCTTCCCTTTAACCGACTGGGCTTAAAGCCCAAAGCTCTAAAGCCTTCACTGAATAACCCAACAAAACTTTTATATAAAATAATAAAAATAAGGGTTCTTTTATTGTTGGGAAGTGAAGAGTTTATAAAATATAATAAAAATAATGATTTAATACAAAATTAATAAATATGCATGTGTGGAGTGACATGTGTCTTGTGATTACATGTGGCATAACACATGTCAGCAGTATGCACGCGTGGCATGACACGTGTCATCACCACAAATATGTAACTCTCTTTTACATATATACTAGTATTTTGTCCCGTGTCACGCACAGGGTCAAACAAATTTTTTTGTCAATTCTAAAATTTTTTTAATGCAATATTTTTCTGCAATAAAGAAAATTTACTTCTCACATGATTTTTAAAGAGACAAAAAAATAAAGTGGAATAAATAATATTTGTGGAATTGAATGTGTACACAACAAAAATAATTAATTCTAAATTTTCTTAAAGCCTTCAGTGTATGTAACATTTTTAGTATGGTTGCAAGAGTTTCCATTGTCATCTAGGACTAATATTTTAAATCATGTCTTTGTTTTTACTCGCGAAACTGCAACATAGAGCTTACCATGAGTGAACACCGACTTGGTGAAAAATAATCCAACAAATGACAATATTTAACCTTAACTTTTGTTGATAGTTATAGCAAAACATAAGGCTAATGGAAATTGCCTTATCTCGAACTTCAAGGATAGCCTGTATCAGATGGTACCAAATTCATCCGGGATATGTAAACTTTTCCCCCCACTCAATTTCTCAAAACCACAATAACACTGATAACGTTCTTTCGCAGCTTGTCCACAATTAATCTTGTTCGGTTACACAGTCCAGATGTTTGGTCAATGTTTCTTAATAACATAATTGGCACCCCCATTTTAAAAACTACTTGTGGTTTAGAATCCCCGATAATTTTATTTTATTCAAAAACTCAACTGTTATCCAATCGCCATCAACACCTACATTTGGATTTGCCTGACATGAAGAATCAGAACTCAAGCATATCATTTCATCTTCACGGAATGAGTGATATGACAAATTCATTTACCATTTCGCCAAAGGTTGGATATAATTTATTTTTCTATTTCAAATAAATACCAACTATTTTTTACATCGTTTTAAAATCGTTTATTTTTTGGTGAAGTCAAGTTGCTAGTGTATTTTTTCAATAGTGTAGAAGTATTTGAAAAACAATGCTAACCACAAAGATGTTAAATTTTGAGGTGCGCATGAATGCGTTTTATCATTTATTTTCCTTTTAATATAAATAAGCCATGTGATATGCAATAAACATTACAATGGGGATCAAATATAATTTTTTTGCCTTTAAACCATCGTGGTATAAGCACGTATATAATTTTTTATCTTTTAATATATGCAGTATTTATTTTATTTTTTAAGAAATGTTTAAAAATTGGGGTTACATTATTTTGTTTTTAGGAAAATAGTATTTGAATATCATTTATTCATCTCTTTCAAATATTTTTCTCCTGCATATTTTTTTTGTTTTTAATATGAATTTAATGTTTGTTTATTTTTTTGCAAACATGAATTGCTAGTGATTTTTTCAAGAGTACAAAAGTATGTAAAAATTAATGTTAAGTTCTACGATGATAATTTTTTTTGCATTTTTATATAAATAAGGCATGTCTTATTTTTAAAAAGGCATTATGGGCCATGTATAACTCACTTGGCTTTACATATTCGTAATATTATCTTTAAGCACGTAGATATTAAACCGTTTTCTATCTTTTAACAATAAATAACTTATATACAGAGTAATTTTCAAATTATATGTATTTTTTTATAAATAAATCGTGTATCATATAAACCAAGAATATAACAATTAGTATTTAAGAACATTTTTTGAACGTAACACATTTATAACAATCAATACCATAAATTCTTCTAATCAATTTTGTAGAAGAAGAAAAAAAGAAAATATAATCTTGCGCGAAGAAGTAAAGGTCATCCCTCAAAAGAAAAAATAGCCTTAAAGGCAATGCATGAAAAAATACATAGAAGTCAATGATGACATGACTCTTGATGTGTTTAAAAAATATTCAGCCAGCATGCCAAATGTCGTCATTCTAAAAGCTCAACTTCCAAATTATATATATATAAAGATTAAATTTAGTCAATGATGTTGAAATTGTAAAGAAAGTTAGTTGAACATAGCATTTCATGGTGACACAGTTTTTTGGTCAATTTTATTATATAATAGAAGGTAATAAAACATAATATATTTTTTAATTTATATAATAAATCATCTAAGGAATATAAACACAATTTCTCTAGTGATAAATCAAATCAGAAAAATGTAATCTAACTATGGACTTATGTATAGTATATTTTTCTAATTTAACACAATTATAGTTCAAGACTACATACAACTATACATATAACTTGAGTGCAAGAAATCAAATCACATCTACAAAAGAATTTGTCAGTAAAAAACACAACCAGTTGCACAACATCTTGTTTCCAAACATAAATGTTCGACAGCATATATTAGTATATATCACCATATTGAATAGAGTAACATAAAAGGCATAGTTTCGCTATATCACAGAAATGCCCACAGGAACCAGTGTCTTAAAGGCGTCTTAAAGGCACTCTCACAGAAAATGTCAGATGACTCATATTTGATCTCCAAAATTTTGAGATCTATTAAAATGTCTAAAATCAAAAGTCAATGCTTTCATAAATTCATTTAAAAATCAAGGCTTCATAATTAAGAACACCTTTCAGAGCAAGCTACGACCTTAACTTCAGTAATGGTTTCATATTGCACCAAATTATCAAGGTCACCCAAATTAACTCTAAATTTATCAACAACACAGAAAAAAAGGATAGGAAGAAAAAACAAACCACACCAACAAACATCTCAGTTTCATAGAAACCTAGATCTTCAGCATAAAGAACCTACTTGCCTACATCATGTGACAAAATTAAACATTCAATTCAAAATTGAAAGCAAAGGGGTCAAATTTAAAGATACAAGCATAAAATCGGCGGTGGAGATTCAACAAAGAGAAGATTGAGAAAGCAAATTCGCATTAAACATAAAGAAAATAGAGCATAGCTAACCTTAATTTCTAGCCAAAGGCTTGAGGGATTGAGAAAGCAAATTCACAGAAGATAGGCGATTCTCGCGCAATGACACCAATTACACTCTCTAAGTGATCTGGAAATAGGCCGGCGGCGAAAGGATGATCGCTACAGCCTACAGGGGATGGCGTCGATCGATCTGTGGGATGGAGCAAGGCGTCGTCTGGAATTACCATCGGTATGATGTTAATTTAGGGAACGGCATAAGCAGCGGATATTTTTTTATTGGCTGGGCAAATATTCCGGAAAAGAAATTAAGAAAAAATTAAGTGTGCGGTTTTTTTTGTTATGCGCGCCTTTTTACCTCAAAACAAAAGACAGCGCTTATTAATTACCTGCTCTGTAAAATGCGCTATTAAATACTCATTCTGTAGTAGTGCATTTCTTGTTTCTAAATTTTCTAATGTAATTTTTAAGAAAATATACTTTAATGTAGTTTTAAAATTAATTAAAAGTGTAATTATAAATGAAGAGAGTAAAAAATATTAAATTGGGAAAGAATACTATTATAAAAAATGATATTTCCTATTTCATAATTAAATTTATTCAAAGATTTCATACCATAAAAACAATTTCACATTTTATACGTCCTAAATTAGATGGAATATTAGATGTCAAAACAAATGCAAATTTTTTTATAGGTGATGAAATATTTTATTTATTAGGTGTTAATATTTAAATAAATAATATCAAACTAACTTCATTTATTTAGATGTATCATAAAAAAATATAAAATTTATTTATAGGTGAAGAGAGTTTTTTTTTTCTTATTAAAATGTTTTGTAATAAATAAAGAGAAAAAAAAGTATAGAATTAGGAAAACATATAATCATAAAAAGAAAGACTTTTTTTCATTTTTAAGTTTACTCAAATATTTCTTATCTAAGCATGCCACATGTCAAGTTCTTAGAGACCCAACTCTCCTTTTTTATAATATATAAAGGATATAGGATGATAAGAGAAAGAGAAGGGTTTGAGTAAGGAGAAGAATTTATGGAAAATGGCAAAAAAATGTTGGAATTTATGAGAATGTCCTCCTGGACCTAACAAAAAATTGCGTGAGGCACGTTCATTCCACTTGCGGGAAATGACAAAAAAGCCCTTCTAACCAAATAACAAAAGGTCACTGTTTAAGACTGTTACTTCAAAAATTTAACGGAAATATTAAAATTAACGCCCTGACGTTAAGTTGTCGTTGAAGCAAGATGATGATTTTTGAAGGGGCAAAACGGAGTCGTTTGAACGCCCAACCGATCCTTAATCCCCAGACCAATCTTCGGAAACGATACACCTTCTCCTCTTGAAACTGTTCTGCTCTTCGTTCTCCTTGGCTGATTCCGGCGTTGTCTACCTTGGTATATTGCATATTATGGTCAGATACCTTCAATTACTACCACACTTTTGTTTACCATGGAGAACATTGGTGCAATTGGCACGATCTAGTACAAGAGAAAAAGAACTCTCACCCAAACACAAAGGAGGGAGATCGAGAATGCAAACCAGGTATTTTCAAATATCCCTCACTTAAAATTAATTGATTTTGATTTTAATTTTGAACTATTTGGGCTTGGTGTCAGATTTCTGCTGGGTAACTCAATCTATAGAAGGTGAATCATTCTCGGACGCTTCCGAAATGGAAGTGCATTGCATGTAAACTAAAATATAATATTTTAAGTCTATTTTGTTTGAGATTGAATAATTCTGATGCACAACAAGTCATTCGACCATGACAATCATCAAATATAATGTTATAGTAATTGATTATAGCCGAATGCATTCGAATACGTTTTTTATTAGTTCTTGTTTTTATTTTAGGTTCCAGCATTGAATTGCACCATTGAAATGGAAAAATTACCTGGAATAAATTACCTGGAAATCTTCACTGGGAGAGTTCCAGAAGTCCTTATTTTGTTTAGAGAGAATACCCCTTTTGCATATATTTTGGATGTTGAGTGTATTC